ATACTGCGGTAGTAGGGTAGGCGACCAACGCGCACATCCTTTCCGCACTTTTCCTTCAAGAAGCGAAGGGCATCGTCGCAAAGCTCGTTGCTATGTACCGTCCATACCACCCGTTCTTGTGAAGGGCCTTTGGTAACTGCAGCAGCGATGAGGGCGGCGAAAGTAGTCTTGCCTGACCCGGGACCCCCCGTGTACATGGCGATGCCTCCAGGGACGTTCCGGAGACGACTCAAAAGCTCGCGTTGCGGCTTTTCGTCTTCTGGAAAACGAAGATTCTTGAGTTCAGGGAAGCGTTCGTGGAAATTGACGCACGTCATGGGATGATATTGCGGCAAAACAGCCGGGTTGAACTGCAGAGCGTAGGACCACCGGATCTCAAGATTGCTGCCTTTGCTAGCTTTCGCCATTGCCGACACTGCCTTCATCTCCATATGCGCTGTCGCATCGAACTCGTCAACGACTATACCAAGAACTCTGTGCTCCATTCTTGGGTTTTCTATGGATTGCGCCTCGTTCCTGTCGTCCTTGTCGTCCTTGTCGTCCGTCGTCCATGGGAAGGTGACTTTGACCGGAATTGGGCGCCTTCCAGGCTCGATATCGTTCTGCTGAGGGACCCAAGCCACAAAGTAGGCGTTCTGATACGAGGAACCCTCTGGCGGCGTGGTCCGCATGGCCTGCCAGGAAGACGAGCTGCTGCCACTGAGCACGACTTCGCTCGGCATACGGAGCCGCATGTATTTGAGCCTCGCCACCAAGTCCATAACGAACGCCTGATTGTCGTGAGAGGCACTGGCCGAGACGATGTCCTTGACGTACTGAGTTAACTGGGCGTCGGCATCTCCAGGCAGAACAGTCTTGAGAACGGCTTGAAACGTGTCGGAATTGACCACATCTTGCTGGCCAACGTCGACGAGGCCCGTTCCAGATTCGAACTGAGCTCGACGGTAGCCCCCAACGATATGCTTGCATATAGCCACCGAGTCGTTGCTATCCACGGAACCCATGGCGCGGATGCGTGTCTGCACGCTCTTCCCAAAGGTGATCCTGCACTCGTCTCCAATCTTCGGCAAGGCAGCAGCGGTTTCGGGCGACATCGGGACCACGGCCAAGTACTTCTGAATAGTACCATCAGGCACAAAGCCGTACTTCTGTTGCTCGATCCTCTTCTAGGCGGACGAGTTGTCTGGAAGCAGGGCGCACGGGAGATCGGTAGTGCGGAAAGGGTTGGTCTGCTCTTTCTGGCAAAGAGCCTCCTCCCTAGACGAGGCCTGAAGGCGCAGGACGTAGCTTCGATTGTCGGGGAAGACGAATGAGGCAGGGATGGGATGCTGCGGCCGGGGGAAGTCGTCATTGATCTTTCCATTTTCGTGAAGGTTCTCCAGCGATGACTTTGATGTCTTGAATAGACAGTCGAGGCCTTCGTCCACGACCTCACAGCTTTGAGGAGTCGAGTAGTGCTGCGACATAATCTCAACGTACTCTCGAGCGGTGCAGTACATAGCCTCAGGCATGTAGATGTTGATTCTGTCTCTGCCGCCTTGTCGAAAGATACCGAGCTCCGAGATTTGAGTGGCCTCGCTGGCTGCAGTCTCTGATAGAATGACCTTGCCGAGGTCTACTGGGAGAGAGAGATGAAAAGCAGTGGTGCCAAACCAGTCCTCCTGGCCGCAGCGGGGGTTGCCTGCCATGGCTGTGATAGGTATGGTGATTCGGGCGATTTTCTGAGAGGGCGTGATCGTTCCACGAGTCTCCACGGCAGTGATGGTGATTCGAAGCTCCGGTGTGGTGTATGCGCCGTATACAAAGGTGAAGTCCGTTACGAGACCACCCGCCTGGTTTAGACCGACGCTGTCCCAGCATTCCTTGTTGTATGCCAGGAGCAGAGAGTTTCCCACGCAGATGACGCAAGGTACTTCACGTCGTCGATATGCGTCGAAGAGAGGGTCGTGTCTCTTCTCTTGTCGGACGGGAAAACCGGTCGGCTCCTCGTCGTATTCGAAGAACCTAGACATGGTGTGCCTTGCGGAGAGGGACGACAGAGAAGAGGACGGCGGGCGCTAGCAGAGACGACGACGACGACGACAATGACGATGACAGAAGAGAAGACGACGGCGACAGTAGTGGAGGCGATGAAGACGGCGACAGAAAAAGTAGGAAGGACGGAAGCGGGAAGTATTTCAGCCAAGGAGGTTAGCGACTGGGTACCTAGGTGATGCTGCGGGAGAAGTCGCCGTCGCTGCGTCCGGGATGACAGCAGACGACAGTAGACGATGATCGGTACAGATGAGAGCAGAGAGAAGGAGAGGTCAAGGTTGAAGGAGGTAAGTCTTTCTGTTTGGAGGCGACTCGGGAGTTTGGGAAGGAAGCAAGTGGCCCAGGAAGTGAGTGATGAGGTAGTTGCGAGATGACGCACCCTCTAGCAGTGGGTGAGGTAGGAAAGAGGCAAGAAGCAACATCTCAGAAAGTGGCAGAGAATAAAAAGTCTTTTGGCAGAAACTTCTACGATGGTATCCACGAGTTAGACCTAACCCTAAGGGCAATCGTTCCCCGAGAGGAAAGGTGATGGTTTGCCCGAGTTTGAATCCAAAGTTGCCCGATCAAATATCTCTTTTGTGAACTTGTTTAATGGCAGGTAGCCTTGACTTGTGATTTGAACTTGCAGTCTTGAAAAGGCTTTGAACTTTCCTTGTTGTGTACTTTCGAAAGATGCAGAATTCTTTCCATCCATGAATCCCCCTAAAAGACCTGCATGTGACAAGAGGGTGCAGTGGTGCCTTTCAAAAATGAGCGCCTTCTAAACGGCCCATCCGGAAGCTTCCAATTCATTATTACTGAAACGCAAGTCCAAAGCCCTTTCCGGCTATGCAAGTCACCTGCAGCGCGGAGTGCCCGTCGGATGCCCTTGCATGGTGCCATTGTAAGCTTACTACCCCCACCCTTGTCAACGTTAGCCTTACAAGGAGCGAACACCTCCCAGTACTAGGTCGTCTGACCTCCCTCCATGATTGGATCCGGCTCTATCTTCCATCATCCCGCCTCTAAGCCTCCTTTTGAGGGCTGCTAAGCAGGTTCGCATTCCTTACTCAAGGCTGAATTACATTGCCTATTCCGTCCCAATGTAGGTAGAACTTGGCAAGAAGGAAGTTCGTGTTATTGTCAAGGGACGATTTCTGACGGATAAGCCATTGCCGATGTCAGACCTGGCCTCTTTCGGTGATGAACCCCGGCTCTGGAAGGGTTCATGTGAGACTCCTAGAGTTGCCTGAACCTCTTGGCACATCTATAAGAACGACGCTCAAGTTCATGATGATTGCTATTTTCTCTCGGATATACGACTGGAATATCTATCCTCCATCTTTTCATCGAAATATCTGCTCAAAAATGACAGCATACAACTCTCCTCGCCCTAAGACGATGAAGGGCGTCGTCTGGGAAGGCAAGCCTTACGAGATGGCCGTCAAGCACGACATCCCCGTCCCGCGCATCACTGAGCCCGAGGACGCCATCATCCGCATCACCACCTCGGCCATCTGCGGCAGCGACCTGCACACCTACCACGGCTTCTTCGGCAGCCATGAGGTGCCCTTCGCCATGGGCCACGAGGCCATGGGCATCGTCGAGGAAGTCGGCGATGCCGTCGACAGCTTCAAGGTAGGTGACCGCGTCGTCGTCGGGTTTCCTCAGGATGGCTACGTCCAGACCAAGAACAACCTCCAGCTTGAGCTCGTCAGCTATGGTTTTGGCCAAGACTTTGGAGGTATTGGTGGTTTGCAGAGTAAGTCTCATCCTTGGTTCCTTTACCCCCTTTTCTTCACCCGAGTGATACTAACACATACCCTAGCCGAGTACGTCCGCGTTCCCCACGCCGACTCCTCCCTCTTCAAAATCCCCAAACGCCTCCCGGACAAGGAATGGCTCTTCATCGGCGACATCTTCCCCACCGCCTGGGAAGGCCTCACCTGGTCAGGCTTCCAGCCCGGCGACACCGTCGCCGTCTTCGGCGCGGGCCCCGTCGGCCTCATGTGCGCCTACTCCGCCATCATCCGCGGCGCGTCCCTCGTCTACGTCGTCGACCACGTCCCGCAGCGTCTCGCCAAGGCCGCCGGCATCGGCGCCGTGCCCATCAACTTCGCGCGCGGCGGCGCCTCCGCGTCCGAGCAGATCCTCGCGCTGCAGCCCGGCGGCGTCAACCGCGCCGTCGACTGCTGCGGGCAGATGGCCGCCGTCAACGCCGAGCTGAAGCCGCAGCAGGACTACGTGCTGCGCGAGGCCGTCAAGGTCACGAGCTTCGGCGGCGGCATCGGCGTGCCGGGCGTGTACGCGTCGATGGAGAAGAGCGCGGGTGCGCCGAACGCGGATGAGATGCGCCCCGAGTTGAAGTTTCCATTTGCGGACGCGTGGTTCAAGAGTATCACGATCAAGCTCGGTATCGTAGAGTTGTTGGAGACGGTGCCGGCGCTGGTGAGGCTGATTGAGAATGGCAGGGCGAGGCCGGGGTTTGTGGTTACGAGCGAGGTGGATATTGACGAGGCGCCGAAGGCGTACGGCCGGTTTGACAAGAAGCTTGAGACCAAGGTACTTCTCCGAGGCCCTGGCCAAGAGGGTAGAGAGGAATTTGTATGGGAGGCTGAGCAGCAGAGCAACGGGGTCGTGGTTAATGGTGCTGACCAAAGGTATGTGCTTGGCCCCTTTTCTGTGGTATCGGAGACGAATGCTGACTGCCGAGCAGAATTTCTGGCAAGACCAAGAGAGTGAGACTCCATTAAGTTTCTGCATACTGGACGAACCCATGTCGGCGCATGTAGGCTTCTCCTTGTCATTCTGACATTTCACCGAACTGGTTACTCTTTCTAGGTAGCTTTTGGCAGTGGGAACGGGTGGGGGAGATCAGCGGACTTTGATCGACATCACGCGAATAGACTAGAAACCCCATGTGATGTCAACTTCATTTTCCTTATTTTCATAGTCTTCGTATATCTCGTCAATAGATCCCCAACCCCTTAAGAAAACGCAGGCTTCTGATCGGCGCCGTTGACGCCCGTCAAGTACGACACGCGGTCCTTGCAATAAAACTCGACAGCAGGCTTTCCTTCGAGACTCGCCTTCCCGTCGTCCAGTCCGCCAGCCTGGATTTCCTGATTAGCATCCTGCAGCGGTATGCTTTTCATTGCGGGAAGTTCCTTACCTTTATGCAGGTGACGTCCGGCATGAGATCGAGCTCGGTGTACAGACTGGAGCCGCAGCCGGAGCAGAAGAAGTGCCTGTTCTTCTTGCCTGAGTCGCCGGTGATGTCGTAGTACTTGGGCTCACCTGTAGATGTGTCAGTGCATGTCGCAATATCATGGAGATGCAGGGAGCTCACGTACCCTGGGTGACCTTGAACGCGGTGCGAGGGACGACGGCGTTGGAGGTGAAGGCGGAACCGCTCCACTAGACGTAAGTCAGCACTCTGAAAATCCCCGCGTCGTGACAATGATGAGGACGAAAACTTGCCTTCTGGCAATCAACACAGTGGCACAGGGCCGTCACCTGTGGCTCTTCTGCAGATTACATCAGTCGATCCGTTCGCCCGTAAGAAGCCTCAAGGTCCCGGACTCACCACTACTCTCGTACTTCACCGCCTTACACATGCAGCTGCCCTTAAGAACCATTTTCCTTTTCCTTTTCCTTCTCGCAAAGTGTGTTCCGTCAGTTCACTCGTCGTCGGTGTTCAATTTCAAATGATTCGGTGAAAGAAATGTGAGATTAATAGGGTCTGTCAGCGAAGGAGGAGAAAAAGAGGTTGAGGAAGTCCGATCCCCCATTTATATACACGTTTGAGAGTTTCGGCTAGCGCTGGAGCCGGCAACAAGGAAGCTGATCCCCGTCTTATCATGGGAATTGGCCACTACGCCGTGCCCATTTTCTGCTGCGGGGTTAGGTGATGTAAGTAGTTTGGGTGAGCATGGGCCCTTTTTTGAGGGGTGCGTGTGTTGTGTTTACCCCGCGGTTGGCGAACGAGTGTGTGTGTTTGGTCTGTTTGATCTGCTTCTCTACGAATCATCATACGGGGCTTACTTGATAACCGGTGGAGTTGGGGCTGTCAATTGCAGGGCGTGATGGATGCTTTTATCGCCGAGAAACATAAATTGTGACAATTCCCAGGGATTTATGGGGTTTGCATTTCTAAGCACGTGTCTGAAGGATTTGAATTGATTGCAGAAAACATGTTGTCTAAAAGGCGCGGGTGGCGCCGCGGCGGAAGGATTGATTCCAAAAAGGCTGGTTCTGCACCCCGCTATGCGGCGTGTTGACGTCCGCAGAGCAGCGGGACTCCACACGCGCGAACCGGGTCGGGGAATAAAATGGTCTGCCCCGCGGCTGCTCGGTTATTCCATGGGCGCGGAGGCCTGAATGACAAGTTGTCTTCAGCTAACATCGTGGGCGGGAATAATGGCGTGGTGGAGAGAGAAGGGTGAACTGCATTCGCGACGGACTGAGGCATAGAAGCCGATGGGTAAGTTGAATTCAATCATGTCTCAGCAACCTCAGTGAAGGAACCTGCGAAGAGTGGCCTTGCCTGAGCCTGCGCCGTCGTCAGATCTCCAACCGTTAATTCGCAGCACGTGCAGCAGGAAGTAGACAGAAGAGGCGACCAAAAGCAAAAGAGGAGGAAAAAAAGCCCGAAAGGAGATTCGAACCCAGAGGTGTCACAGCGTTGGATAGTATGATTACGAGTTGAGCTAGCATTGGGGCTATACTCGGCATATGCACGGCCACCTCTCCACCCGCTAGTTGTTCAGTCCAGATCCTAACCTCCTTACATACCTATAGTTTTCCAAGGCGGGCCTGAGGTATGTGTTCGTATTCAGCTTTTGAGTCCGACGAGTCTCCAATAGGCTCCTTGTCCCCCAAGGCAACCGTATTCTCTTGCTGGGTTTCCGTCTACTACGTTTGAAAAGGTGTGAATGTGCAATCGTTGCAAGCAGCGATCCTGGAGAGCGCTTCGAGAGACAAGTGGACGCCGAGCTGAGGCTGACTTATCTGCGGTGGTTCCAGGCTGGTTCTTTCCTTGCTGGACAAGTTGACCAAAGTACGGATATTGACTCAGTCAAATGCTTTGCGCGGAGCCCTCAGGCCGAGCATTTACCTCAAAAGTGGTGACGCAGTGAATTAAGGCAATGAAGTTGTTATTAGTGTATATCATTCCGGTGCTTTCTGGTCACACTGCCACCGATCTGGTCATGCTGTGTCTTGCCATCAGAAGTAAAGTAGCCGCCCATTGTGTGGCTCTCGGCCTCATGGTAACAATGGCTTCGTTGCCTTTAAGGTGACTCATAAGAGAGAGACGTACCGCAGAAGGCTTTGCAAGGTCCTCAGCCACTGAAAAGCCTGTTCTAACCACCCCTACTTAAGGCGCTGCTGCTCTCATCGTAATCAAGGTATTAGAGCAAGAAAAACTGATAAGTATTCATACCTCTATCATCAGCCATTTTGCTATATTAGCAGAGTCCTACGGCAGACCTTGGTAGAATTATACATAAATTATTAAAAGAAGGTAGGATGCCTTATCATTTAACGATATCTCACCTAACTGCTGTTCTAGAAACCAGAGAACACGAGACAAGCACCAATAGTCACAATGTGCAGACTCATTCCCAACTCTAGCCTCTTAGCTATGAAGCGCTCCGCGGTTGCCAGCCGCACTTATCATCGCCCCTCAACTACTGCGCCCGCTTACAACCGCTTCTCAACGACTTCTCGTGCTTACTTCCACCCGTGGATTCCTGGTTCTAATACATACCCTCAGACCGCAAAATGGCACGTTGAGCTATCCAACCAAGATGTCAAGAAGCTCCTCAAGGACTACGATCCTAAGAAGATGGAAGAGGACTTTATGTGCCGTGCTGAAGGACCCGATGAAATGGGGAATATTGTGTTTCATGTGTATCGACGTTACACCCGCGGGGAACAGCTTCGTCTGCAGATTGCGACTCAGGACGGTCGGGCAAGAATTGCAGAGATTACGTGGTAGACATTCAGACCGAGTGTTCAGGCTCCAGAATGGAGGGCGAAAAGGTTTGCTATAGAGATATGCAGAGAGTTTCTGGGTTGCGACATGAAGGGAGCAAAGTAGAGTATCTCTGCTTCTTCGGATAGGATAACGAGAAAACGTGGGCTACCATGCCATCAATGGCAGAAATTAATCCAAGCATTTCCAGGCAGGCAACCGCCAAGAAATTGAAACTGCCTTTTGCCATCAAAAATAACTGTCCTCCAGTGCTCTTATCATCTGGTTGTTCATGTACAGCCAGTTGCCCAGCTGCGTGCTCTGCTGATCTACATCCATGCCAAAGTCGCCGGGCATCGCAAATGAGTTACCGGGAATCCACCCATTGCTTGTAGACAGATCACCGAATGCACCGCCCATGACGGCCTCGGCGTCGTTTAGTTGTGAGAATGGTGTGTTAGCCAACCCCTGCGAGCTCGAATCCGGCGTCGGCATCACGTTCGCCTGAGACACTGACGACGGCATCATCAGAGACGCCGCAGCGCTTCCCCAGCCACCAAGGTTGGTGTCTTCAATCTGTTGTGAATCGTTCGCCTTCAACTTGATGTAACTGCAAGCGACGTCATAGAGGACCTTGAACAGCCGGACCTCCTTCTTGACGCCTGTCGAGAAGTCATCGGTCAGCAGCTGCTGTAGGGAGCCGATTAGACCACCGAGACGCTCGAGGTCTGCTTCATTACATGTCTCGATGACATGGCAGAAGAGAACGGTGAATGGGACGAATGGCGATTGAAGGAGAGCCCTGGAGTAGTTAGTTGGGACTTCTTGGTTTGCGCAAAGAATCGGGGTTGATCATACCAGTTGACGTATGTCTCGAGGAAGTCTTCGTCAAGCTTGTACATGATAGACATGCACTTTTCGTGCTCTTCGAGGGCTTGGCGGGCGCTGGCTATGCACTCCTTACCAAAGACGGTGCCCTCGCCCGGTTCGGCGGGAATTGCTCGGTATATCAGGCAGAACAATGACAGATGCGTGACCCTTGTGGTGCAAATAAAGGCTTCGAAAAATAAGTCTCCGACCGCGTCCTTCATTGCTTGCATGTAGCGCAGCTAAGACCAAGTTAGTCTAGATGTCGAGGACAACCGATTCAAAATCGGACTGTCAACCCGAAGGGGTTTCATTCACCTCATCCGGGGATGTTTTGCTCGTAAAGCCCTCGAGGATCGAGGCAAGCCTCCGTGCCCGTGCGGTTCTAACTTCTTGGGGTTGTATCAACGCGGCGGGACTATAGATTTGATCGTAGACCATGCCTTGAATCCTCGCCAGTTCTGTCCATTTTTGCAGCTGGCCAAAGATGGCCGTGTCTGCCCTTGGATTTGGTGCAAGTGCAGGAATGGTCACATCGGAATCGCGAATGGTTGATGATCGACCCAGTCGAAGGGAGAGGCCCTTCTCATGCATGTAAATCATCCAGAAAAGTCTGAGCTTCTCTTGCTTGGTCTCCGCGTCGTCGTTAGCCATGGCAACTATGCTGTGCATACCCAGTGTCTGGCTCATATGCGACGCAGTGGCAATGAAGTTCCATGCAGCGGATGGCTTGCAGGAGTCGAGACAGTACATGGCCTGTCGTGGGAATTAGCAACGGATCTTGCAACGGGCATGAGCACATACAGCCAACATCATAGCGCATGTGGTATCCATCGTTGACGGCAGATGGAACGGCAGACCCGAGAGTACGGTTTCGAGATTTGCGCGGCAAGTAGTCGCTTGCTCAGCGAAGTCTGACTTCTTAGTTGGATCGACAATCACGTTTTTGCATTCGAGAAATAGCCAGTACAGGCCTCCGTTGACGATGATGAGGTCTGCGTGGGTCACCTCCCCTGGGGAATAGACCTTGAGGAAGTAGTCGGTGAAAGATGAGTATGAGTTTGCTTCGTGATTCCAAAAGAATCTGACGCGAGGATGCTCTATGCGATGATTAGTACGCAACACCAAGCCGAAATATGAGCCAAGGATTCCATACCTTTGGCCATCCTGAGGCAGGTGAAAGCAGTTTCCACTGGAGGCATGGGCAGGTCTCGGAGTGTAGTGCCTGGCTCAAGCGTTCTGGCGTGCGGATAGAGGTACTCGGGCTCTTGCTCTCGCTTTTGGTTCCCAATAGTGCGACTGAGGGTGTCCAGGACGGAGGCCATCTCTCCTGTGACGTCGGCAGAGGGCTTGCTGCTGACAGCATCGCGAAGGAACCTGTTAGCGAATGCGGCTTGCGCAGAAAGAGACGATTCTCCCTCATATTCCAGTTTGGGTGTCAGAATCTTGCTCGTGTTGCCACTTGATGGTGATGGAACGGCTAAGGTTTCTGTCGGGGTACCGCGAGATGCCGGTGTTGCTGGCAAAGAGCGGTAAGGAAGGGCTGATGAGGTGGAGGGCTGGGAGTTGCCATCAATATTGCCCAAAGCATGGCCAAACTCCTCGAGCTTTTTGGCGATATAGTCGATTTTTCGTTCACTTTGCGATTGATTAGATCTAAAAGGTGGTCCATGAAGGTGCTGCACCACTTACTACACCTCTGAAATGAAGACGCGCTGTCGTCGTTCCTTGGGTTTCTGCCTCTCAGGATAGGTACAGGGAACATCAATGCGGATGCAGTACGAGCACGGTTGTCGGCGATTACATTTCACCAGTTGAGCCGTCAGTTCAGCGAACGGCTTCTGAAACGACGAGCAGAACACACCTTACGACGACGACAGCGGTCGCACTGGACGAGGCACGTCAGTATCAAATGCGCCATACCGAGATACCTAGTGCCAATTTACAGAGATTTTGGACAAGGGAAGCTCATCATCTTCCTCGTGGTCTTCGAGGGAGTCCATCGGATCAAGGGCGCTGCTGCCGGTTCCCGGATCGGTTTCCATCCTTTCAACGAGACCCAATACCCTGGAACTGGGAGAATGATTGGACCAACAAGTCAGTGCGGAGGAGAGTGATGTGTCGTCGATTGAGATGAACGCTGGAAAAGGGATGGCGGCGGTGCGGCGGTTGTCATGCAGCGAAGCGAAGCGCAGTGGTGCGGAGCGGAGAGCAATGAAAGCGAGGCCCGCATTCGTAATTCGTAACTCGCGACGTGTTGCCTTTTTTTGCGCAGCTGGTGCGGAGGTGAAGTTGACTTATGCGCAGCGAGAGCGATACGCAACGCGAAACCGAGAAAAAATAAGGTACGGAAGCGTGGACTTTCTGGGAATTGTGGACCTTTTGGGTGAATCTATGGAAGGCATAGGGTTGGCCGCGGGGTCCGACTCTGGCAAACCCCGGGTCTCTTGACGCGGTCGTTATCTTGAAAGCAGTGATTTGAATGACGTCCAAGTCTGACAATCTCCTTGATGACAGTTTTCCCGTCATTTGCCATTGCGATAGTGGCTGAATACGCGTGTTTTGTGGAATTCGACATGGGGTGCGGAATCGAGGAATCTTGGCAGCCCGCGCTCCGTTGGTGGCAGCTGCTTCGGCCGCGCCTGCTTGGCATGCCGCACCACCGCCCGCCCCAGGTCCAGCGCGGGACGGAAGGAGATCCCGAGCAGCTGGGTCCTTCCATTCCCATGGATAGGAATTCACCCAAGGCAGGTGCCTTACCACAGGGCAGGAGAGGAGCGCAGCTGGAACCTAATCCGGGCCGCAGCGGGGTGTTTTCCCACGACGCCCTCTTTCGGCAGGCACCTTCCATGATTAGGTTCGCTCTGAGACGCGAGATTCGTATTTGAGAGGCTGTCGACTACACTCCTTTGCGAGCCGTGCATACGGTTCGCACCTCGCCCACTCTTTCCCTTTTATTACGCGGCGACAATCAGCAACAACGTTATACTTTGTCTGCTCCGTCTGAACTTGCCCGCTTTCATCCCTTTTTGATCTGGTTCGCTTTTTCCTCCCCTTCTCATTAGATAAACCTTAGTGCTCCCCCCTCTCCCACCTGGGCCGAATTGCTTCCTCCTGTGTCGTTACTCGCCCTTCTCCGCGAGACGTACGCCAAGACAAGACATGGAGAAGCAAAACGTTTCCTCGAGTTCAGCGTCCACCGACTCATCGAAGCACCCCGATAACACCGACGAGAAGACGACGAGTGGCTTTGGAGGCTTTCTGGTCAGCCGAGAAATTGTGATGGCTCGCTTATTAGCACTGACATGAGTTGCAGAGAGTCTTCAGATATGGAGAACCAATCGACTATGTTCTCGAGACCATTGGCATTCTCGCCGCTGTTGGGTCTGGTGTAGCCCTGGCCATGATGAACCTGATCATCGGCGAGTTAATGGACATCATGAGTGACGTGTCAACGATCACCGCCAACCCTGACAAGTTTATGGCGGCTGTGAGCAAGAATGCGTAGGCAGGCATGATCAACAAACCCGGGAATCCGCCATCTGACATGCACAGGCTCTATTTCGTCTACATCGGCATCGCCCGCTTCGCCACAACGTACATCTACTCGGCTCTCTTCACCTACGTCGCCTTCAAGTTGACCCGCAACGTTCGACGGACCTACCTCCAAGCTGCCCTCAGCCAGGAAATCAGTTTCTTCGACCACGGCACTGCTGGTTCCATCGCCATGCAAGCAACGACGAACGGAAAACTCATCCAGTCTGGAATTGCTGAGAAGCTTGGCCTCTTTTTCTCTTCGGTCTCCACGTTCTTCGCTGCCTTCATCATCGCTTTCGTAAGCCAATGGAAACTGACACTCATCATTATCTCCATCGTTCCGGCCATTGTTCTTGTCAGTGGTGCCATGGCGGCTGTCGACTCTGGCTTTGAAACCAAGATCTTGCAGTCCAACGCACAAGCAGGAACCTACGCTGAGAGCGCCCTGGGAAGCATTCGTGCTATCAAAGCCTTCAGCTTGGAGTCTCGCATCATGCAGAAGTACAGCTCGTATCTCGACCAATCGCGGGTCATCGGCAACAAGAAGAGTCCTATCTATGGTGTGATGTTTGGGTGGCAGTACTTCGTGGTTTACGCTGGCATGGCTTTGGCCTTTTGGCAGGGTATTGCAATGATTGCGCGCAAGGAGGTGGACGGCATTGGCACGGTCTTCACGTAGGCTCAACTGCAAGTCTTTCAATAATCGCTCTGCTGACCAAAAGCTCATAGGGTCTTGTTCTCTGTTATCATCGCCTCGACTTCCATCAACGGTGTAGCCCCTCACCTGATGGCGTTCAGTCGTGCTGCTACCTCCGCTTCGGAACTCTTCACTTTGATAGATAGAAAGTCCAACATCAATCCGTTCGACGAATCCGGTCAAGTCCCCAGCCAGGTTTCAGGGCATATTGACATCAAAGGACTGACATTCAGCTATCCCACGCGACCGGACACCCGAGTTCTCGAGGACTATTCTCTGAGCATCCCCGCTGGCAAAGTGACAGCTCTTGTGGTATGTTGAGATCGCGATATCTGATCGAAACGTTGCTTACAACATCGTAGGGATCCAGCGGCTCAGGGAAGAGTACCATCATCGGCCTCCTGGAGAGATGGTACGATCCTGCTTCCGGTTTCATCAGCCTCGATGGAATCAACATCCGTGACTTGAGCCTTGGTTGGTTGCGCACGACGATGAGACTTGTTCAGCAGGTATGTGGCATGCTCCGAAACCAAGTCCAAAACATGATTGGAATCCTGACCTCAAATAGGAGCCTGTTCTCTTCAACGGTACCGTCTTCGAGAACATCGTCAACGGCCTGGTCGGAACCCCTTTGGAGAATGCCTCACGAGAGGATCAACTTCAGCGCGTCAAGGAAGCAGCCAAGGTCGCGTTTGCCGATGAATTCATCAGCAACCTGCCCGAAGGATATGATACCCGAATTGGCGAGAGGGGTGGACTGCTGTCCGGTGGCCAGAAACAACGTATCGCCATTGCACGAAGCGTTATCTCCGAGCCCAAAATACTCCTACTTGACGAAGCAACAAGTGCGCTGGACCCTCATGCTGAAGGGATTGTGCAACAAGCTCTGGACAGCGCTTCCAAGAACCGGACTACCGTCGTTATTGCCCACAAACTTGCAACCATCCGAAACGCAGACAACATTGTGGTGATGAACAAGGGCAAGATCGTGGAGCAAGGAAAGCATGATGAGCTAGTTGCACTGGGTGGGAACTACGCCAAGCTCGTGAAAGCGCAAGATCTTTCTGTCAAGGAGAAGGGGAGCACTGACGAGAGTTCCGAAGACGACTCGACTGAGGCAGCTGAGCCCGTTCAATCCCTGGCCAAGTATGACACGGAGGCAGCGCAACGACTCGTCTCGTTCAAAGACAAGGACGACTTCAAACTATACAAGCAGACCAATCTTGTGCACACGATCGTCAAGCTCATCCGCTCTACATCTGAGATCAAGATGTGGTACGGCAGTGCCTTCGTCGTCTGTGTTCTCGGAGGTAAGTCTAGTGGCCAGCCCACGATAGGCGCTACGCGCTAACCCACCTTCAGCTGCTGTCTACCCCGGACAGACTCTTCTTCTGTCTCAGGTCATGGACGTGTTTACCTCCCCCGACATGCTCAAGCGCGGCAACTTTATCGCTCTGATGTACTTCGTCATGTCCATAGGTACTCTAACTGTCTACTACATCATGGGCTGGACAACGAACGTGATTGCTCAGGTACGCTCTCTGATTTTATTGGTGTAAACTTTCACTAACCTCTTACAGACTCTCAGCCAGAAGGTTCGCAAGGGTCTCCTTAACGGAATGCTAAGGCAGGACCTTCGTTTCTTCGACCGAGCTGAGAACACAGTTGGCGCTTTCAACAGCCGAATCGATTCCATGGCACAAGCGATCTTAGAACTGATGGGATTCAACGTCGCTCTCGCCTTCCTGTCATTTGTCAATGTCGTCGCCAGCAGCATCCTTGCGATCGCAGTGTCTTGGAAGCTTGGCCTTGTCGGTGTTTTCGCAGGCATGCCACCTCTCCTCGGAGCAGGCTTCGCCCGTATTCGTATTGAAACGAAGCTCGACGCCGAGGTCGACGCGAAGTTCTCAACAAGTGCCTCTTTGGCATCCGAGACCGTCAACGCAATCCGCACGGTCTCCTCTCTTGCTATTGAGAAGAGCGTGATTCAACGATACACGAATGAGCTCGACAACGCCATCTCAAGCTCGACCCTTCCGCTTTTCAACATGATGATTTGGTTCGCCCTTACTCAATCCATCGAGTTTTTCATTCTAGCCCTAGGATTCTGGTGGGGATCACGTCTTGTTTCGGAAGGCGAGATCAACTTCTCCCAATTCATCATCTCCTTCATGGGTGTTTTCTTCTCCGGTCAGGCTGCGGGCATGATCTTCAGTTTCTCCAGCAGTAAGTAGATATCTCTGATGCTATGGCTCATAGTCTCTAACCACAGTGTCTTCCCAGGTTTCACCAAGGCCAATTTCGCTGCCAACTATTACTTCTGGCTGATGGGTCTCCAGCCCACGATTCAAGACACCCAAGAAAACAGTGACAAGGGCCCTCCTGATGGTTGCAGCTCCTATGGCTTCGACAATGTCCAGTTTTCATACCCCTTGGCCCCAGACACCAGGGTACTCAAGGGTGTTACTTTGAAAGTGAGTTATCCCCATTTGACATTGGTGAACAAGAAGACTGACATTTGGTTCCCAAAAGATCGATCGCGGCCAGTTTGTCGCTTTTGTCGGCGCCTCAGGTTGCGGCAAGAGCACCATGATTTCCCTTCTCCAACGATTCTACGATCCTACTAGCGGCACGATCACCATTGATGAATCTACGCCCCTCACAGCGATCAGTCCTCGCCTTTATCGCAACAAGCTGGCTCTTGTGCAGCAAGAACCTACCCTCTTCCCGGGCAGCATCCGCGAGAACATTGCGGCAGGAATCGACCTCCCAACAGAAGCTTCCGAAGCTTCCGACGAGAAGGCGGTTCTGGTGGATGACAGCGTGATCGAAGCAGCATGCCGCGCAGCCAACGCGTGGGACTTTGTCAGCTCTCTTCCCGAAGGCCTCAACACCCCCTGTGGACAGGGTGGAAACCAACTTTCCGGTGGTCAGAGACAACGCATCGCCATTGCTAGGGCCTTGGTTCGGGACCCCAGTGTCATTCTACTGGACGAGGCCACCAGTGCACTCGACACCGAATCGGAAAAGGTCGTCCAGAAAGCCCTTATAGAAGCTGCAGCTACGGGCGATCGCATCACCATCGCCGTGGCGCACCGCCTCTCCACGATCCGTGACGCAGACAGGATCTGCGTCTTCTACGGCGGCCGCATCGTCGAAACGGGAACTCACAATGAACTTATCGAGAAAGGCGGGATGTACAAGAAGATGTGCGAGGCGCAGAGTCTGGATAGAGCTGCGTAGGGCTTAGACTTTTCTTGATGGACGCAGGTCCGAATCTGGATGTGTCTTTCGTCATTGTCAGCGTTGCATCGCATGGCGGATACCTAATGTGTACTTTCAATTCTTGTAAAGCATTTAGACTTTTAGAATGAGAAGAGATGGAATCTTCTTTGGCTTGCCTAATCGGGAAAGTCGAAGTCCTGGTGTACTTTTCGCCGCGAAGGATGTCATGTGGGGAAGCCAAGAGTGGCCTTCGCCGAATCCTGGCCCTTTGTTCCTTTAGGCGTATGCCTGCGGATGTGATGGGCGAAACATTAAAGTCCGACGGGGTATTTCCTTTAACGGGAGAACTCCCATCGCTTGAAGAGGCTTCAGCGTCTAATGTGATGGGTCTTGGCCGTTGTCCACTCCATTTACGGGAGGTTCAACGGCGAAATCGGCAAGCCACTTACTTGCATCGATGCTGATCAGTCCCTGATGTTCCGGGGCCGGGGTTTTGGATCTGGTGGGGGGTCGAATTGACGTCAGCTGAGCCACACTCATGATGCTGCTTGGGCAGACAGATCATGGAGTCTAGGCGTCTAAGAACAGCTTCATGAATTGTGTCCAAAAAGGCATATAAGGAGAACTGCGGCGGACAAGATGTCCTGGATTTTCAGCCAGTTATCACAAAGCATCTTTGAAGCACATACCGAATACATCGCTGCAACCACACAAAACGTACGTCTCCATCTATTGAAATTGCCGTGTTCAAAACTGACACTGCCATCACAGACAGATATCTTCACGACCATAACCAAGCAATAACACATCTCATAACCTCAAACTAATCCTTCCGGAGGGTAAAGAAGAAAACACACGACCAATCATGGGTTCCTGCTCTAGCAAGTCCGGCGATCCCTACCAGTGGGGCTACATTGACGACGGCAAGGGCTGGACGGCGCGCCCGCGGTCCGAGTACATGAAGACGCCGGCGTACAACAAACATCTGCGGAGGCAGATGAGGGAGGAGTCGTATGCTAGGGGAGGGAATGGGCATATTTCCATGGCGGAGCAGTCGAGGAAGCAGTGGTGACGAGTGAGAGCAGTCGTTAGGAGAACGGAAGGAGAAAGCTTGAGGACAGATGTATGAGGAAAGGATCTATTTAGAATCTAGTTGCCGGATTTTATCTCAATTTCTACAATCGGTTTGTCTGATGAGACTTAGAGACTTGTATTCCAACATGCTCTTCTGGCTTGCCAAGGTTGCCTCACTATCCTGAGCCAGGGCACGCTAAGAAGTCTCACTTTCCCTCCCGGTGCTCCTTCAGCAAGGCTTCGAGAAGTTCAACCTGGCCCTTGCGAACAGCAAGCGACCCGATCGTCTCCCTGGCCACGGACCGGTCACACTCCGCCGGCTTCCTCGTCCCGTCCTCCGATCTAATGCCAAACGACATACCGGGCGTCGGAACAAAGCAGTTATCCTGGCTCCTCGCCGCACGCAGCTGGCAAACCTCATTCTTACGGCACGTGTCGTCACACTCGGGCACGTTCCACCCGCGTGTCCTGCGCGCCCAGTACGCCTCAAACGCAGCTGGGTCATTCTCCAGCGCGACGGTGACGTTATGCCAGAACGCTGGGGTCAGCTCCGCGCCCGCAGGGACGGGAGTGTCAAGGAGGACGCCGAAGGTCTCCTTGGCGGCGTAGGAGCGCTTCCACGCGGGCCCGGTGGTTTGGAAGGTCGGGTCGGTCATGTCGGCAACGTAGGTCTCGATGTCGAGGATGCCGAAGGTGATGGGATCGATGGTGTAGAGGCGGAAGGCGGGCATGCCGGAGAGGGGGGTCATGGAGGGAGCGATGTAGGATGTTGCGACGGCGTTGGAGGCGGTGCGGTTGTTGTAGTTGGAGTAGCTGATTTGGAAGTGGTCGAGGTGGGTGTGTCCTGGGCTATTGTCAGCTTAGATGGTGGTCGTCTGAGAAGGAGAATACTTGCCGAAGAAGAGTCCAGCAATGGTATCCTTGTACCGGTTCACGACTTGATCGAAGTAGTTCGACCCATCGTGGAGTGCATCAGACGTGCCCATGGGCATATGCCCAACCAGAAGCACGCGCTCGCCAGCCTTCTCCGCTGCATCGAGCTCCCCGACGAGCCACTTGAGATGATCACTCGGATCCCTCTGCACATACTTGTACATCCAGAAGTTGAGCGTGTACCAAAAGTTCGTCGACACCGAAATCACCCTCAACCCGTCCCTGGGCGTCTTGACCGAGTACGCACCAACGGCCTTCGCCTCCGCAGGCGACCCGATCCACCTGCTCCACGCCTCGGAGACGACTTCGTACAGCCACTGCGCGCCAGCGCCGAGGTGTGTCGGCGGGATGGCGTTCGCGGGCGACATCTCGTGGTTGCCGACGGTGCCGTAGATCTGCAGGCCCGCGTCGGACATGTGCTGGTACGCCATGCTGATCTCGGCGGAGTTCTGGGCGACGGTGGTGTTCCAGATGGCGTGGTCGACGATGTCGCCGGTGAAGAGGGCAAAGTCGGGGGAGAGGGCGTTGATGGCGGCGTACATGCTCTGTTCGAGGCTCAGGGGGGCGCCGCAGTTGTGGTCGCCGAAGGGGCCGGCGGGAAAGTCGTTGTTGCCAGGCTCATCGGCGGGGGTGTACGGTCTGATGATGGAGCGTTAGAGCTTCGTGATAGGGAGGCTTCGGGGACAGAGCTTGGGAGTACCTGCAGCACATCGGCTTGGAGCAGTTGGCGTTGGAGCCGGTGACGTAGAGAAGGTCGATGTGGATGTCTGAGAAATGAGCGACCTTGAAAGGGGCGGGTTTTGTTCCGTTTGAGGAGGTGTTTGCCAGGGGAGGTGAGCTGATAGTCTTGGGGGGCATGGGAACGATGTACGGCTCAACCTCAGGGTAGTCACAGAGGCCCAAGTATAGTTGTACAGAAGACCTGAGCTGTCTTACTGCCCAGGGTGAGATCGCGGAGACTTGCAGCAATCACGGGGCCTTCCAGAGCTAGAGTCCCGTTACAGACGTCTTCATCTTCGGACTTAATGTGCACCTTGTTAGTCTGAACAGGCGTGAATCTTGAGAGGAACTTACGGAAGCTGCATTGCAGAGCTTCTGCAGAGCGCCGACGAAAGCATCGTCACCAAAGTTTGCGAGCGTCCTCAAAATGAGAAGAATTCCCTAAAGAGACATGAGAACAACTTCGTGGCGGTTTAAGGAAGGAAGGTATGTGCTCTGACTTACCTGGCATCCCAGGCAGTTGTTGTTCCCTGTGAGACTGTCCCATATGCCTTCGACCGATTGCGGAATATCCACATCGGGGATGGCTGCTTGTCGGGCGACTGCGATGCTACTGGATGGCTTGGCTTCAAGGTAGCCAGAAAGGGCCCAAGTGCACAGGGCTTGTCCCGCGATCGAAAAGATTGCCGTAGCCTTTTTCATCTCGGCGGCTGATGGAGGTTTGAAAAGAGTGTAGAGTAGTTCCGAGACACAGAGAACAGAAACGAGTGTGGTGAGCAGTGAGTGAAGGTTTCTATTCCGAGGATCGTGATGGAAATCGGCTCCATGTTATAGGACGACGGAAACTGGCAATTAGTTCACCTACCGCGATCGCATGTCGGTTGGCCCGCTTCGCTACCTCGAGCGGACCGCAGTGGATAGCAACAGTCTGCCCGACTCCGTTCCTCTTGGCACCCGAATTTGTGCAAGCTGGCGATCATATTAAGCGAGTGCGAGACCAGAAGACACCATACTCATCGGCCGGGCCGGAGGCGGCTTGATACTCCGACTTACTAGGTCTGTCTGGCCTCTCACGTCGAAGTGCTGATGCTATCTTGGAGCCTTTTGATGGATTAATATCTGATGAATTGAGAAGATCAGCCAAGGCTCATTGATTTCAATTTCGTATCGCGAAATGGAGCTTCGGTATTCGGAGTTGGTCTCGCAGTTCACCATTGGTCACCGTTTCGAATCGCAGGAGGTGACCATTGCACCACAGAACCCCAAAAATGAATACCCCTTTTCTCATCAAAATGGAGTTGATGATATCCTCCCTTAGCTACACTTGCTTATGATCGTGATAATACATTGCAGCGTGTCACTCGAAGCCGAGGCGCAGGCACAAGCTGAACTCAATTGAGAACAACTGAAGTTAAGCCAAAGAGGCTTTGACAGTCAGTATTCCCTTTCAAAAGAAAAGCATACGGTATGTGGAATGAGAGAGCCTGCTGTTGAATGATTTCGGTCCTCGGCAAGGTTGCTTGAGGCTGTTAGTGCTGCTTCCGTATTACGGGGCCCACTCCTCGGTCCTCGGGTCTTGGCGAGACGGACCGTTGCGGTGTGTCCGGGGTCCGCAGGCTTTCAAGTGCTATGTTGAACTCCATTCTGTGCCGAGGGCCGTTTATTTTACATCACAAAAGTTCGAGTGGGGACCTCTCTCCAATGTAGAAATCTTTCGCCGGGAGAGGTCATCCATTCAAATGTTAAACCCGTAGCGCGCGGTACCTTATTTAATCAGTACGACTTGGGCCGATGACAAATCCGCCCAAACGTCATGCACCCTTTTACTCCTAACAGCGAATCGACATCATCTGAGTAATACCTAGCGTAACGGTCTCCAGATCTAGCCGAATTAGGGAAACCTAATCTCCGTCGAGTTTGGCGCAAAGTGCAGCTTTCAGCCAGAGTTCTATCCTTTGTCAGATTAGTCTACGCTAATTCCGTACGACACCGAGAATAATAGTCGTAAATGGTGGTGTTCAGAGTATGAGATGTAATCAAGCATTTGTTGTCCGTTTTTACAAATCACGCTAATGGCCAGCCTAACCGTCAGCAACCTTAGTAGCACCTTGGCAGACTATTTAGACATGCGGACTTGCATCTAGGGACTGAATTATCACTATGGCTTCTGGTCATTGCATCTTTTTGACATTACATCGCAAACCAATTACCCTACCCAACTCTACTGCTATACGCCATGAAGCTTTACAACACATTACTAGCATGGCAGAGCTACCTGACTGTTGCTCTAGCTGCTTGCAACGAAACTGAAAGCCCACGCGTTGACTTGGGCTATGCGACATACGAGGGCACCGCGCTATCCAACGGCGTCAACCAATTTCTCGGAATGAGATTTGCCGCGCCTCCCGTAGGACAGAACCGTTTCAAACTTCCGCAAGAAGTCATTCAGGAACACGGTACCGTATCGGCGAAATCGGTAGGAATTTCACAATATATTGGCGAGTACGTGGACTAACAGCAACCAGCACGGATCACTATGCCTGCCAGTCGATGGCCTCGCGTTCACCCCACCACCTGGACAGGATATATCGGAAGATTGTCTTTTCGTCGATGTCTACCATCCGGCACATGTCAATGGCACAACGGCACAAAACCTTCCGGTCATGGTCTGGATTTCCGGCGGAGGATTCGTGCAGTTGCTGAATGAGAACTACAACGGCACGGGGCTGGTCGAAGCCAGCAACGGAGGTGTTGTCATTGTTAGCTTCAACTACCGCGTCGGCCCTTACGGATTCCTTGCCAGCGAAGAGCTTCAAAAGGAAGGAAGTCTCAACATTGGTCTCCACGATCAGCGCGCCGCTATGAAATGGGTCGAACAGCACATTGGAAAGTTCGGCGGGGACCCTAACAACGTCACCCTGTTTGCAACCTCGGCTGGATCAGGGAGCGTGCTTCTGCACACTCTCGCCTATGGTGGACATCCTCCTGAAAGCGAAAACGTCAACTGGCGCGCCGGAATTGCTCCAGCCGTATGGCTTCCCTCTGTCCACAAAGTCGAAGAAATCCAGTACCAGTACGATCATCTCCTCAATGCCACCAACTGCAGCGGTCTTGCGTGCTTGAGGTCGCTCGACTCAGACACGATTCAACGGGCGAACCGCGGCTTCCCGTTTCCCGGGCAGGCGAACGTTCCTCTATTCCCTTACGGCCCAGTCATTGACGGGCATCTGCTCACAGGCACACCGTCTGAGATGCTTCGCAACGGCAGTTTCGCCAAACACCGGCCGCTGATTCTGGGCTCGTCCAGTACTGAGGGGACCATCTTTGCTACCCAAGCCAACACCACGCAAGACGTCAATGACTTCCTCAAGACGCAGTTTCCCGATCTGACAGAGGATGATCTGGTACAAGCCAATACTCAGTATTCCTCAGTGCCAAGCACTTTTCCTGGTGTCAACGTGACAAAGTCCCCTAAGTTCTACCAGTTGTCCCAGATGTATGGCGACATGGCTTTTAGCTGCGTTGCATCAAAGTTTGCCGCTGGATTGAGCCGAGCGGGGGTGGATGTTTACCTCATACGCGATCACGTTCTAGACCCAGTCGAAGTTGCAGCGGGGTTCATCGTCCCGCATACTTGGGAGTTGCAGGCTGTCTGGGGACCAGAATACGCACCGCAGTCGGTTGCAGTGCCGGGCGCAAACAGCTACGATGTCGGTGGCGTCAATCATTGGATGGTTGGAGTTGTCCAGGCTTATTGGCTTAGCTTTGCCAGGACTGGTGACAATCCGAATGCCGCAAAAGCCGCAGGGGCACCTTTCTGGGAGCCATACAGGCATGGGGAAAGACTCAAGCTGCAGACAAACTCGACGACGATGGAATCTTTGCATGAAGAGGAGTTAGGTCGCTGCGCGTTGTGGAGCAAGCTTAGTGCGAAGACACACATTTGAAGGCGTTTAGTGTGATTGAAGCTAGACCCTGACAGTGTGCACTTGTTCAAATATTTTCGCTAGATAATTCAATATTACCTATGTCTAATATACTGTAATACCAATCTCCTTGGGATTAGAGCACTAATGGACTGAATTCTCTGCTGAAGGTACAGCTCTAGCACCTGCTCGATCCGAAGTCCTTCTGATCGGGGTTTCGAGAGCTCGGATTTAATAAATGAGGCCGGGCGTTTTCCCCAATGATATATTCGGTGTTAGTTGCCCATCCGAATCAGCGCTTGAAGAAACGCTCCTTAAACACATGGTCCCTAGTGATAGGGGCCGGAAGTCTCCCTCGGCAACCGCTCATAATTTGCATACATTGAGGTGGATCAGAAACGAGAGGTAATGTCGCTCGTACAAGCATATGGCCGAAATATTTTGCCATCGTAGTTGCTATCTGCATGACATTGGAATTATGCTGATGGAAAAACAAGGGTGAGAAACGTTCGTGATCTCTGCTCAGTTTCAAAACAAGCTGTTGAGTGTTTCCCGGTAGCTTTTCCCAAACTTCACAGCTTAGCAATAGCGTCCTCCTTTATTTGCAAGCCGGGTCGTCCTTGCAAGTGAGCTATCAACTAGTCAGACCTTTCTCTTCACCTGATACAAGACCAGAGGGTGAACTTACATAGCAGCAAAGGGCATAATCCCGACCTTCTAGAGCTGGGGGAGGGGCTGCAGCGACCTGGGCAACGGCGACAAGGAGAAGGCTGATGGTGGCGAGGAATTGCATGTTGAATTAGAGGATAAGTGAATGGTTGTGGCTATATGTCGTGATGCCCTTAAGCATCTAAGGTAGCCTCGCACTTAGAGGAAGGTATGAGGTGACCTACTCCTAATCTACTTATCTAGATTAATAATATTCTAGCGTATTAAGATCTATTCTTTAAAAGACCTTTTATATTAGACTCTAATTTAGAAGGAATTAAGTTATTTTATTTATATAGATATTATATATATATTATAGTTAATTTATAATAGTTATAAACTTAGCTTATATTATACTTCTAAATTACTATTTATAAAATAAATTATAACTTTATTTAATTTAATCTTATATCTATTATATTTTATTTTAATTTTTAAATATTNNATTTTTATAATTATTTTTAACTTATAATATATTTTTAAAATAATAGTAATTATTAACCTTAGTATTTCTTATAAGTTTATCTTTTATTATAACTTCTTAGTTTAATATATTATTTTTTAAGTAAAAATAAAAGTTAAGGATATTTAGAAATATATTAATTTAAATAATACTTTTAGTACTTCCTCTAACTTAAGTGAAGTTAAAGGTATATTTTTACTTAATAACTAGATTTAGAAAGAAAATAAGAAATAATATAAATATTATAAAGTAGAATAAGAAGTTTATAATAAGATAGTTATCTTATTTACTCTTATTACTTTAAATATATAAGAAGTTATTATAGAAGGTAATATTACTAAAATTATTAATAACTTATTATTATTTATATTAATTATACTTATTCTTCTTACTAAGAGATCTATAGGAGNTACCTACTTATTTAAAGTTTTATATACTTATTCTTCTTACTAAGAGATCTATAGGAGTTCTTAAATTTTATATTTTATACCTCACTATATATATAATTTATAAAATAAAGTATACTTAGAAGGAGTAAGTATATAAAACTTTAAATAAGTAGGTAAAAAATACTATTTTAGAAGAGATCTTTATACTTATTTAAG